TGTGTGTACATTAAAGGCCATACTGAACCACCGCCGTCTCTAGTAAACTCTAACTTATCATTTCACATTTTGTGATGTTGCCAAATCCCAGGGTTTGTAGGGCGGCCAGAAGATGACTTCAGAGGGACAAATTCTTAAATGTATCTGTGCGGAGCTTTACGTTTTATTTCCTGAAATGCGTGAGTTTTCTCCAATCCAATTTCCCATGCCACCAAGCACTCAAGAATTTCCCATGCCACCAAGCACTCAAGAATTTCCCATGCCACCAAGCACTCAAGAATTTCCCATGCCACCAAGCACTCGAGAATTTCCCTTGCTACCAAGCACTCAAGAATTTCCCATGCCACCAAGCACTCAAGAATTTCCCATGCCACCAAGCACTCAAGAATTTCCCTTGCCACCAAGCACTCAAGAATTTCCCTTGCTACCAAGCACTCAAGAATTTCCCATGCCACCAAGCACTCAAGAATTTCCCATGCTACCAAGCACTCAAGAATTTCCCATGCCACCAAGCACTCGAGAATTTCCAATGCCACCAAGCACTCAAGAATTTCCCATGCCACCAAGCACTCAAGAATTTCCCATGCCACCAAGCACTCAAGAATTTCCCATGCCACCAAGCACTCGAGAATTTCCCATGCCACCAAGCACTCGAGAATTTCCCTTGCTACCAAGCACTCAAGAATTTCCCATGCCACCAAGCACTCGAGAATTTCCAATGCCACCAAGCACTCAAGAATTTCCCATGCCACCAAGCACTCAAGAATTTCCCATGCCACCAAGCACTCAAGAATTTCCCATGCCACCAAGCACTCGAGAATTTCCCATGCCACCAAGCACTCAAGAATTTCCCATGCCACCAAGCACTCAAGAATTTCCCTTGCTACCAAGCACTCAAGAATTTCCCATGCCACCAAGCACTCGAGAATTTCCCATGCCACCAAGCACTCAAGAATTTCCCATGCCACCAAGCACTCGAGAATTTCCAATGCCACCAAGCACTCAAGAATTTCCCATGCCACCAAGCACTCAAGAATTTCCCATGCCACCAAGCACTCGAGAATTTCCAATGCCACCAAGCACTCAAGAATTTCCCATGCCACCAAGCACTCAAGAATTTCCCATGCCACCAAGCACTCAAGAATTTCCCATGCCACCAAGCACTCGAGAATTTCCCATGCCACCAAGCACTCAAGAATTTCCCATGCCACCAAGCACTCAAGAATTTCCCATGCCACCAAGCACTCGAGAATTTTCCATGCCACCAAGCACTCGAGAATTTCCAATGCCACCAAGCACTCAAGAATTTCCCATGCCAACAAGCACTCAATAATTTTGATTTAAAGCTTTCGTGACTGCAGTAATTCATATTCTTAGTTCTTTCGGTAAAGTCACGTTGAAGGGAAACAACAAAATAATAAAATATATATAAAACAATAAAAATTCTCACGACGTTTCGACCATAACACAAACGGTCGTCTTCAGGTGTGTTATGGTCGAAACGTCGTGAGAATTTTTATTGTTTTATATATATTTTATTATTTTGTTGTTTCCCTTCAACGTGACTTTACCGAAAGAACTAAGAATATGAATAAGCACTCAAGAATTTCCCATGCCACCAAGCACTCAAGAATTTCCCATGCCACCAAGCACTCGAGAACTTCCAATGCCACCAAGCACTCAAGAATTTCCCATGCCACCAAGCACTCAAGAATTTCCCATGCCACCAAGCACTCGAGAATTTCCAATGCCACCAAGCACTCGAGAATTTCCCATGCCACCAAGCACTCAAGAATCGAATGGGCAAACGTCCTCTTTTAACTTTTCACGACTGTAAAGAAAAAAAGATTCTAGAAACTCGAGGGAGGCTTTCCTCGATAATAGATTTCAAAATAATTCGTGGTAGCTACGTTGCTCCTGCGCGTGTGTCTCTAAAAATGCGTACCTGGTGCGGTGTGTAAACAATACCTGGGAAAACAAAAGTGGCGCGGGGCAATTCTCGGCAAAGGCACCTCCATCGTGCGCAGTGGCGGCCTTCATAGGCTCACGCTCTCACCACTTGCCCCAACAGCCTCAAAGGCCTATGCACCACAGGGGAACTTTGTCTTTGTTGCGTACGCGACAAAATTACGTTGCGATAAGCACAACAAAAAGAAAACGTGGAGTGGCGTGGGATTTACAGTTGGCCAAGAATAGCGAGTGACGTCGGGACTCTACCCGTGTTTATCATCGGGCGTGATTTCCCCGCTCTATAAATTGTGCTAGGTTCGACAAATTCCAAAACTGAACTTCCGAAAAAAAATTCAAGCGGAGTTTCATTTTTATAGACGAGGTCCAAAACCCCCCTCCCAAAAAACTCAATTAGTTCCTGGTGTCCATTGCCACAGTGCTTACTATTTTATTAAAGCAAAATCACCGCATCGTGATAACTAATTCAACGATAACAATAATTAAATAGTTAAAATCTAACAAAACACGTGACTCTGTGTAATGATCGATTCTCCGGTAAAAGAGGTCATTTGATATTATTACGCTTGGTTATCCAGTAAAGCCACACGGAGTCTCCAGACACTTGTTCAGGAGGTTCGTGGCAAGTTTTTGCAGTTAGAGTCATTTGCAGGATATATTTCAGCACTGGAATGTTTGGCCAATACAAGTTACATTGAACAGTGGGCTTAGCTACGGGTGGAGGGAGGGGGAACCCAGACAACGCAGAGGGGAAATCCATGCAGAACACGGGGAGAGCATGCACACTCCGATTTAACACGCTGTAGGATATCGCGACCAATATCAACCATAATACAGGTTAATTTGGGTGAGATCGCGAAAATATAAATGTGTCGTTAAACCCGCCACCACCCGACACGGCCAATTAGTAAGCGCTTTCGGTATAGTCACGTAAATAGAAAATAGAAATTAAAAAAATGTTTGCTATTTTTATTTATTTTATTTGTTGTTATTTTTATTTTACGTTATCATTTTTATTTTATTTTAAAAAAAGTGCTTTTTTGTTTTCTATTTACGTGACTTCACCGAAAGAGCCAAGAATATGAATTCCTGCAGTCACGAAAGTTTTAAGCCAAAATTTAGTAAGGATTGTCACGTAAACAGAACATGCCAATACGTGACAAACCTTACTAATTGGCTGTGTCGGGTGGTGGCGGGTTTAACGACACACATTTACGCGATCTAACCCAAAAAAAACCCTGCATCATACACGCTCCACACAAAAAGGCACCCGAGTTCGGAAATGAACCCAGGAGCTTCGTACTGTGAGGAACAAATGTTACAATCGCGCCGCCCTTCTCCTTGCCAGGATAAATAAAGCGCTTACGCGAATTTGATTTTGAGGGTAGGGCACTTGGTACAGTGATTTGCGTGCTGCACTATGAACCCAGTGGCCTCAGTTCGATTCCCAACCGCAGATAACATCAGAGGCAAAACATGTCAGATCAGGTGCTTGCCATCCCCTTCCCATCACTAACACACACCGGCGAAGTATCATTAAAACAAACAAATCTCAACGACTCTCATGGCCATCGCGGGCGTCTCGCCAAAGTGGCGCGTGGAGGCCTTCATCAGCTGGTGGATATGAGAACGGCTGCCTTTCATTTAAATCCTTTTGTTGATTGTTGGTTGCACAAAGTTGCGCGAGTCGCTGGGTCACCTGTGGCAGGCCCTCTGTATGTACAACACACCGTACGTTGAACTTCTTCGGCACCGTGCGTAGCCAGGCGTGCCGATCGGAGGTGTACACGCGATTACACAAAGTGACCTCCGGCATTAAGGGCAGAAGCGACATTGTTTTTTTGTGCATGTATATATGTAGTTATATGTATATTTGAAGAAAAGTTGTAAGCAGATTAACAGAGCTGCAGTTTACAAAGAAGTTACGTAATTTATTTTAAACTCACACGGAAAATCACTATTTATTACACTGCCACTGAGGGGAAATAAAATGTTGACATTTTGTTAGACTGGCCGTTACTCCCTGATAACATAAAATAACATGCCATGTTATGTCATCTTTAAGAGGAAATGTTTCCTCAGAGTAACCCTACTAACCTTCACTGTTAAATTTTGATTTAAAGCTTTCGTGACTGCAGTGATTCATATTCTTGGTTCTTTCGGTAAAGTCACGTGACTTTACCGAAAGAACCAAGAATATATATAACCTTCACTGTTGCTTATTTATTTCCAAGATTTTAAATGTTTCTTTTTTTGAAGCTACGAAATTCCACATATCACAACTAGCACGGCTGGCTTACGCACCGTGCAAAAGAAGTCCAACATACGCGATCTACAGATTCACATTATCGCCAGCCATGCTCAATCCACTGCTGGATGAAAGCCCCCCACAAGCCGCCGTCACATCTCGCGATCCTGCAATGTAACAATCCATCTGGGACCTGCGCACGAGCCGAGGTAATTGTTCCCTCTCCTCAATGGAGGTCCTCTTCAATGGAGTTCCCTTCCATGGCTGGTCCTCACTCAGCATTATCGGTCACAGTCCCTTCCAGCGATGTGTACTGCCCAAAGCCCCTGGCATTTGTGTCCTCGACACGTAATGTAAAAGTGAAATGAAAGTTGAATACGTAGCAGGCTTTCGCGGCCAATATTGATGATGAAGTTTCTTGGGTTAGATCGCGTCAGTATGAATGTTGTGTCGTAACCCTCCACCACCCGACACAGCCAACCAGTAAGGGATTTGTCACGGAAACAATACGCGCCAATTAGTTTACCACTTCAGCCCACCGGTGTGTTGGAGAGCAATTATTTCAGTGAAACGAAAGTTAAAAACGAACGCTAAATAAATGAGAGAAAAGCACAAATAGGACAAGCCAGTGCAGCCCCGTCGCCCGTGCGTTCTCCGTTTCGCCTGAGCGCCGCATTAATAATCAACGAGACGAGGCTTATCGTCGCGGTGCTCTTTTGAACAGACTCGCATATTTTTTTTTTTTGCGACAGAACAAACATTGACAGATGATATTCCGGCTCACCGGCATTGGGGCAGAATCTGCTGTTGGCTTGGGAATGGCAGACGGCCGCCGACACGATGCACAGCAACACCGCCAACAGCTGCTCCATCTGAAAACAGACGCATGCACGCACGCGCGCGCGTGTGTGTGTGTGTGTGTTTGTTTTTGCGTAAATATGAACGAGAAAGGTGCAGCCCGGCAATTGCTCGCTCATGCCACTACTTTCGGAAAGGGCTTTCACACTTGAGCGAAACTCCAAAACAAACCCCGCACTCCAAGAGGTTTCCAAGGCCCACTCTTCCGCGCTGAGCAAATGTCTCGCAAGAAGCCAAGGTAGACCTCAAGACGGCGGGTTGATGAACATTTCCGATTGTTTCAACTGCACACGTCTGGAGATCGACATTCACGGATGCATGCTGAGCATCTATAACGGCGTGCCGTCCTGTATGTCGAACGGCTTTCGCACGTTACGCGGCCAGCCCTGCTAGTCTTACTCAAGAAGGTGGCGGCACATTTGAGTGTGAACAGAAAAGGAACTTGGGCAACATCCCCGATAAAAATAGATCGCACGAAGTACTATCCCTGTCTTGTGCCTTTTAGAGAATTGAATATCGAGCCTCAGCAGATTAATAAAAAATAATTCACAAGATCAGACGGCGTGCACTCACTGGAAAAATTCGTTTGTCATTCCCCGCACCTCCGAGTAGCACGGTTGGCTACGTACGGTGCGAAAGAAGTTCAACGTACGTACACATATCATGAGCATGGCTCGATTGCCACAGTTGCCCGCGCGCACCGAGTCCCAGTAATGCCACGCTTGTCAGTCTTCGATGCTGCCAAACGTTTTTGTTGTTGTTACACGACCGTCAAGTTACCGAACCACGCGAACTTATTTTGACTTCGCGATGGAATGTCCCATAACGTCCGGGGGCAAAGTGTCCATTGGTCCGTGCATCGAGAGATGACGTGGGGTCGAAATACAATTTTGCCCCTGAATTCACACCTCATTCCACCGGGGGTGATAATGACAACTCGAACGCCTCGTTCGCTGACCTAAACACCGCAACCACCCTCCCGGCTTCGACTCCACGCCTCAAAGACGCCGGTGCAACCGACCATCAACTCGCGACAGAACACGGGGCAGGCCGATGCGACGCATCTCCTTCATGAATGGAGGATTTAAAGTCGAGCCCTCCGGGTGGGGGTGCGATTGTGGCCGTGCACCCCCCCTCCCGTCCCCAAAAAATAAAAAAAACGATGGCTCCGCGCGGTGAACCACCTCAGTCTCCTTCGAAAGCCCCGCAAACGGAAAATCTCGCCGCGACTATCAGAGACCTGGACCTTGGCCATCTCCGTAAGCTCCTCGGACACGCAGCCGTCTCTACAGAAGCGGTCGCTACCTTCCGTGTCGCTCTCGCAGGCTCCATGGGCAGCGAGCGCGTGGCGTAAGCGAGAGAGAGAGAGCGAGAGAGCCCTTATCTGCTGATGCCTGAGCCTACCGCTCCAGCACAGATTGCCCAACGCAGGAGAGGAAGCGAGGTGTTAGCCAACGCGGCACCCCAGCCCCGTCCGCCCGCCCCTCGTCTTCGTTGGCAACGTCCCCTTTCTGTCCAAGACTTTGGTTTCCCATCGTCAACAGCGGCGATAATCGCAGCTCGTCGCTTTTGAGCGGGTCTGTTTTTTGTTGTTGTTGTTGTTGCATAATTGCTATTGATATATTTTAATTTAAAGCTTTCGTGACTGCAGGGATTCATATTCTTTGGTTCTTTTGGAAAGTCACGTAGAAGGGAAATAGTAAAATAATACAAATATAAAACAATAAAATTCTCACGACGTTTCGACTGCAACACAAGCAATCATCATCAGGTGTGAGCCCACAGCAAGAAAATTTGAAAAAAGTGGCGGGTTTTTTTTACGTTAGCACCACGGAGAGCGATTTGGCAGTTTGTTCAGATGGACGAGTCCATCTATGTTCAGAAAAGAGGAGGGGGGAGACGAAAATAATGGATGCGGTCTGAAAGCCACCGTAAGCGTGAACAATCAATTAAGACCCGAAATAGTTTATCGAATCCTTCCAATGATTGCTAAGCCAGAATCCATCTTCTCGGTTGAAATTGTCTCTGTGTTTGTATATGTGGATAGCCTCATGAACGAATCTCTCATGGTAGCCAGATGCCTTGCAAAGAACCTCTGTCTTGGAGAAGTCAATGTCATGTGAGCCTACTGAATTATAACAGTGATCTGCCATGGCCGAGGTGTTGGTCCTACCGTGTTTTAGGTCTGCTTTGTGTTCACGAATTCGGTCCGAAACATGTCGTTTGGTTTCTCCACTGTAACTACTACCACAGAGGCAACTGAGTTTGTAGACGCCAGGGTACTGTACGTCCGGAATCACATCTTTTACAGATGGAACCAGGTCACGGATTTGTAATGTGTTGAATCGGACCTGGATCTTGTGTTTATTCAAGATTTTGGAGATCTTTTTTGTGATCCCCGCAATGTAGGGTAAAGTGATGATTTTGAAAGGCTCCTCAAGAGGGTCCTTCTTCATGGTTGGAGTGATAGCTTTGCGGATTGTGTAGTCGGAGTAACCATTAGCCTTAAGAGCTTGATGTACGTGCTTGAGTTCACTGGCTATGTGTTCCTGGTCGGATATGCGTTGGGCTCTATGGTGCAGAGTCTTTGATGAGGGAATTCTTTTGGAATGGATGGTGGTGGGAATCCGGTTTCAGGTAAGCATTCGTATGGGTAGCTTTCCTGTAGACAGAGTGGCTCATTGACCCATCAGGTCTCTTTTTTTATTAGAACATCCAAAAAAGTTAGCTTGCCATCTTTTTCGACTTTCATGGTAAATCTGATGGCTGGGTGTATGGAATTGATGTGGTCGAGGAATTGGTCTAGAGCAGGCCGGCCATGTGGCCAGATGACAAAAGTGTCATCCACGTACCTCTTCCATAAGGTTGGGGGCAGAGTGGCAGTCTGGATGGCGTCAGTCTCAAATTTCTCCATGAAAATGTTGGCTAAAACCGGAGATAGGGGGGGGGGGGCCCATTGGGGTGCCCTCACTTTGTTTGTAGAAAGTTCCATTCCAAGTGAAGTATGTATTGGTTATGCAGTGTCTCACCAGGAGGGGTACCTCAGTGTTTAGGCCTTGATGAACCAAGTCTTCAATGAATGTGATGGTGTCAGGTACAGGAACTTTGGTGAATAAGGAAACTACATCAAAACTGACAAGCAGGTCGTCTGGGGACAGGGAAATACTCGTGATTGTCGATACCAGGTGAGTAGAATTTTGTACCGCAGAGGTGGTTTTTCCAGTGAAAGGCCGCAGGATTTCAGACAGAAAACGAGCCAGTTTGTAGGTAGGGGAGTTGATAGTAGAGACGATGGGACGAAGGGGTGTATCTACTTTATGTATTTTTGGTAAGCCGTATAATCTTGGTAGCCTGGCGGCAGAAGATTTCAATGAGAACTGTTTGGTTTGATCAATTAATGTGGTTGAATCAGAAATTATTTTGTTAGTTTGTATGACGAGGCTGTTCGTGGGATCTCTTTTTATTTTTGTATAGCTGCCATCGTGGAGTAATTCTTGAATTTTGTTGTTATATTCTATTTTATCCATGATGACAGTGGCATTGCCCTTGTCGGCTGAGAGGATGACAATGTCATCCCTCTTTTTTTAATTTAGATAATTCAAAACGCTCATCTTTGCTGAGGTTGCTAGCTGGCATCTTAGCGTTTTTGAGGGTTGCAGCGATTTCAGATCTTGCTACGTCTGCAGCGATGTGACCTGCGGGCTTTCACTGGAAAAACCACCTCTGCGGTACAGAATTATGCTCACCTGGTATCGACAATCACAGGTATTTCCCTGTCCCCAGACGACCTGCTTGTCAGTTTTGATGTAGTTTCCTTATTCACCAAAGTTCCTGTATCTGACACCATCGCAATCATTGAAGACTTGGTTCATCAAGGCCTAAACACTGAGGTACTCCTCCTGGTGAGACACTGCTTAACCAATACATACTTCACTTGGAATGGAACTTTCTACAAACAAACTGAGGGCACCCCAATGGGCCCCCCCCCCCCCATCTCCGGTTGAAGCCAACATTTTCATGGAGAAATTTGAGACTGACGCCATCCAGACCGCCACTCTGCGCCCAACCTTATGGAAGAGGTACGTGGATGACACTTTTGTGATCTGGCCACATGGCCGGCCTGCTTTAGACCAATTCCTCGACCACATTAATTCCATACACCCAGCCATCAGATGTACCATGGAAGTCGAAAAAGATGGCGAGCTAACTTTTTTGGATGTCTTAATAAAAAAGAGACCTGATGGGTCAATGAGCCACTCTGTCTACAGGAAAGCTACCTATACGGATGCTTACCTGAAACTGTATTCCCACCACCATCCATCCCAAAAGAATTCCCTCATAAAGACTCTGCACCATAGAGCCCAATGCATATCCGACCAGGAACACATAGCCAGTGAACTCAAGCACGTACACCAAGCTCTTAAGGCTAATGGTTACTCCGACTACACAATCCGCAAAGCTATCACTCCAACCATAAAAAAGAATCCTCTTGAGGAGCCTTTCAAAATCATCGCTTTACCCTACATTGCGGGGATCACAAAAAAGATTTCCAAAATCTTGGATAAACACAAGATCCAGGTCCGATTCAACACATTACATAAAAGCCGTGATCTGGTTCTGTCTGTAAAAGATGTGATTCCGGACATACAGTACCCTGGCGTCTACAAACTAAGTTGCCTCTGTGGTAGTAGTTACATTGGAGAAACCAAACGACATGTCTCGGACCGCATTCGTGAACACAAAGCAGACTTAAAACACGGTAAGACTAACACCTCGGCCGTGGCAGATCACTGTTTTAATTCAGTAGGCTCACATGACATTGACTTCTCCAAGACAGAGGTTACTTGCAAGCCATCTGGCTACCATTAGAGATTCGTTCATGAGGCTATCCACATATACAAACACAGATACAATTTCAACCGAGAAGATGGATTCTGGCTTAGCAATCATTGGAAGGATTTGATAAACCATTTCGGGTCTTAATTGATTGTTCACGCTTACGGTGGCTTTCAGACCGCATCCATTATTTTCCTCTCCCCCTCCTCTTTTCCGAACATAGATGGACTCGTCCATCTGAACAAACTGCCAAATCGCTGTCCGTGGTGCTAACGTTAAAAAACACCGCCACTTTTTTCAAATTTTCTTGCTGTGGGCTCACACCTGATGATGATTGCTTGTGTTGCAGTCGAAACGTCGTGAGAATTGTATTGTTTTATATTTTTATTATTTTATTGTTTCCCTTCTACGTGACTTTACTGAAAGAACCAAGAATACTATTGATATCTCCGTCCAATTGTGGGGGGGGGGGGGGGGGGGGGCTCCCAATCTCTTGAGACGCGAGCGTGAGCCTTCGCATGCAAAGCTATCTGGAAGTCGTCCTCCCCCACCCCCCGATATTTCTTGCAGCGCTGTGGCCACGTGCAGTGTTGGGAATAGGGGCGCTCTATGGGGCTGAGAGACTGGGAATCACCCCCCCCCCCCCCCTTCTGCAGGCACGGCCTTGTAACTCCATTTCGAGCTCAGTCAAAGCGATCTCCTGCCCAAGACAGCATAGAGACGATGCTCATCTCCCGTTTACAGCCCTGAGCCAGTGGTGAAAATTTTCCACGTCGCTATGTCAACGACCGTTGACTCTACCGCAAAGTGGTACTCACTTTATCGACCCCCAGAGTGGGACTGCGGGGGTGGTGGGCCCGGATTCTAACTCGCAAGCCGCTCAGTCACCTGACCCTGCTATTATTGTGGTCATGTTCAACACACACACACACGGTTGTTGTATTACAACGTCTGCAATTGTTACAGCCGAAGAAACCCTTGCTACATTCAATCCTTTGACAGCAACTTGGTCCGGGAAGTAAATGCCAATGTGGAGGTCTGCAGCTCGCCACGGCGAGAGGGCTTCATTAGACAGAGAGTAAATCTCGTCTAGGAGTGTAGACTATACTGGGCTTCTATTAGACCTTTATTGGCAGAATCAAAAATAAGAATAAGTTTTACCCTTTCTGGGAGAAACGGTAAAACCTATTATTATTTTTTTCCTCTCAAAATATGTATTTCATTCTTTTTTTCTAAATATATATTCTTTCATATATTCTTATATATTTCTACAATGGGTTTACTTTGTGGTCCATAGTGACCTTTATTGCTCAGGTAAAACTACCGTGTTTACTGCTGACATTTCTCTCCAAATATATAAATACGCGGCAAACCGGTAACCGGAGTTACCGGGTTTATTTTTCATGTGGCTACCGGGAATGCAACCCGTCAAAGAAACCTTAATGACGACCCTACCTCGCCCACGGGGATGGAGTGGGGGGGGGCGAGATCTGTGGCACAATGCATGACGCACAGAAAGAAAGGACACATCACGTACACACACGCACCCCGTTACTCGTTTTGTTCAGCGTTTTGGCATTTGTTGAACGTCCACCATCGTGTAGTTCCGATGGGGGCTCCCGTGTGCTCTTGAGGCGCCCTTTTTTGCTCTGCTGAGAGCCTCGAGAACGAACGGTCAAGTCCAACAACAATGCCAGAACACCGACAGAGCGATGGGCCTCCGAAGAATATGAACTGTTACATAGCAGCCTTGTCATTTAGACAACAACAACAAAAGCTGTCGGGACATTTTTGAAAAACTGAAGCTGAAAACGGGAACGGCGATCACAATTTTGAGCAGTTTGCGCACGACGCGATGAGTTTGATTCCTGGCCACGACTAAACTCAGTGCCGGGTGATATCTGAACAGTTCTAAATTCCCTCCCTTCAGCAACCCCCCAATGACCAGCATGCTGAAGTATGGTCAAACACCCCCCCCCCCCCACCCGCCCCACCATACCCGAACGACCAACAATAGCATTGGCAGACTTTCATCCAGCAGTGGATTGAGATGAAATATTATCGCAATTGTATTTACTTCAGTGGCATTCGTGCGATGTACATATTCGATCAATGCCTTTTCCTGGCGGCGTGCTGCAGAGAGAGAAAGAGCGAACTGGCCCCTGCCATAGCAATGTGTAAATGTCCTCACCGGCTTAGGGCCTCTGAGTGGAGATCAGCCCTGCTTCACGCTTTGCTATATATCGCACAAACTCGCCGTGCCCTGTCGCAAAATCCGCGCACCTTCAGTATGTATCACCAAGGCACACGCCGCCTCAGCCAGGCCACGGACATTGCCTTCTCCTCAGTGCCCATGGTCGCCTCGTTCCTTTGTTACCCGCGGCTTTACGGCCGCTTTTACAGAGGGGGGTGGTGCTGGGTGCGTAAAGTGGCGCTCAACGCAGCGCGTTCGAACCCCGCTCGCTCGCGACGCGCTGTCGGTCCCAACGCCGACTGACGACGATCCTCGATGCCCGTGCCACCTCCCCCATCACCCACCCACCACCGTAACCCGGCACGACCCGGCCCGCCGTTCATTCCCCCGCCCTGTATCCCAAAAGCCCCCGTCACTCCTTACCTGCGGGGTGTGATGGGGGTGGAGGTGGAGACTCCGAGAGGTTTTCTTTGTCGTCGCTGGGGGGTTTCCTGGCCTCTGCCGACGGCTGCAGCGCACGGCACGGGGAGCGGGGAGGGACGACGGAGGCTTCCCTACTACACCGTTCCGATTGGCGTCATCAGCTCCTGCGTATTCGGGTGTCTTCAAGATCCCCACGGGAGAGCACCGCCGCCGGCGGCCCCAAGAGGCCAACGAGCCGGCGGTGCGACGACGACAAAAAACGCAAAAGTGCGAAGGGAGGAAACGACGACTGGTGAATGATGGGAGCCAGTGGCCCCTGAGTGTGACAGAGCGGGCGGGCGCGCGTGTTGTCTTTGCTCCCCCAGCGGCTGTAAATTATTGCTACGGAGTGGTGGGGGGGGGGAAGTTGTGTTTCGTCATTTGCACATCGCTAGGCTGGAGGACTAATCTCCCCCGCTCATCGCGTGCGAGGGGAACAGCCGTTACTTTAACGCACCAGAGAATTCTAACTTCGCCCCCGAAGCTGAGCAATAACGGTCCCTCGCAAGTCAAACCGCGAATCTGACGACAGATTTGTTTTTCATCCCCCCCCCAACCCCAAAAAACTCAGAAAATTGTATCTCTCAGTCACGGACTAAAAGTGGCAATCAGACAAATAGGTTTTTTTTTCCCCTTCTGCCCTGAAATGAATCGGGCAGTGGGAAACGTTGGCTCACGAGCGAAACAAACTCTCCTTCGATTCTGCCTCGCATGATTATTAATCTCTACGAAAAATAAATAAACCTTCTGCCTTGACGGCAAGACTTAGCGTGTTTGGTGTCAGCCGCGCCTTCCAAAAAAAATTTAAATCGACCACGTGGCTGGCACAGAACGGTGGCCCCGGTGAAATTTCCACCGTCCCCCTCCCTCCCACTCCTTTCATTCTGGCCCCTCGGCCCCTCCGGCCAGTGGGCCCTGGTGCGGTTGTTATTCCACCTTCACGCTCGGGACCAACCACTCGAACGAGCGTGGGTTGACGATGTCTCACTTCTCCGTTAGCGGCCTTGAGCCAAAGTTGGAATTTCCACACGGGACCGTGTGCGAAGGACAGAACGATGTGACTTGCAGATATGTCGCCAATGCTTTTATTTGTTTTGTCGAAGTGCGTACACTCTACAGAGTGGAAAACAGTAATTTCGTAATAAACAAGGGCACGTGAAACGGAAGGAGAATTTTAAGATGTATATTTATTAAATCGTATAGTGATTATAATATGATCTGAACGGTTAAATACGGCCAAAATAGTTGTTAAATGTCACCGTTAAACTTATCAGCATAACTTCATGAGCATGATAATCTGTTGGAATTGTTTTTGTTGTCTAAAAAATGCACACACCAGCTACTTCATAATGTTAGACTGAATTAGTAATGTTAGAATTATGCATTGTTATAAACGATGAATTGTTCCGTACAGGACATCAAGCCACGCACACACAAACTCTATGGCAGTTTCAAGTAGAATCTAAAGTCATGGCCGTTGTACATTTGGAATGTCCCACTTATAAATAAACATTCCTAAAGGACTTGATGGAATGCCTCGCAATGCGTGAACGACGACTTTACAGGCAGGCTGCGGTGGGGTAAAGTCTGAGTACTCCCACCTATTCCAAGGCGTCTGGCCAGCGTCGAAGGGTAGGCCAAAACACCCTCTCTAGAGGTGAGAACGTGTAACAAGGGGAGGACCCAACACCAAGTGGCCATGGTGAGATACCATAACTCGGATTCGTTTTGCTTTTGTCATTTCAGTGACCCAGGTTGATGGCTATTTTAAACTAAACTAAAATTAAGCAGTTTTACTTACCTATTAGCTATTTTTTTAAAGAAGCAACCTGGCCACAACTGCTAGCTCAACGACGTGGCTTATCATGTGTGGGAATTTATAGTAGCAGTCAAATATATCTCTCGAGCATGATTCTAAATGCGGAGGGAAAAATCGACGCCACCACGGGGAGAGAGAACACGCACATTCCAAATATACAGCAGCAGGCGTCAGGGCCGGGACCGAACCAAACGACCTCCTGCGTACCAGGCGAGGGAGATAACATCTCGCCACCGCGGCACGAACGAGGTCACGCTGGTTTCTCGACCTCTGACCTGGTTCGACCAATAGACCTGACCGTGAGAGGTCAACCTCGCCGGTCGAGGGTTAACTTTACGATGACTACGGGATCCGACAGCAGGAAGGAGTGGACGTCAGCAGCGATCGCCGTGGCGACCTCTCGACTCTGACGGGTAATCGGACGGCGACGGCGGCGGCGGCGGCGGCTTCAGGCCTGCAGTGGGTGTGCACGAGAAGTGGCAGCGCCTCTGCTGTCCAGGGATGGGGGCTCTGGATTGCTGGCGGCTGCCCAGTACTCCCAGTTCATGAGGCTCTCGCACACGACGCTGGAATCCTCTCCCTCGATGGGCGGCGGGCCCTCGTGGAAGTGAGGGGCGGTCGGAGGGCCGGCGGTCCCGGGGGGGCTGGCGGTGGCGGTGGCCGTGGGCGGGCACTTGGTTGTCCCGTCGGTCTGGCCGACAGCCGCCAAGTACTTCTTAACGTGTCCCATCGGTTTCCTGCAAGGGACGTCAACGGCGGCATGAATACAGCGGCAGCAGTGGCAACTTTTGGCTGCTAGCCATCGCGCTTTCAGATGCGGTTCCGTGGCCGTCTGGAACGCTCTCCTTTCCGATATTAGGAAGCCAATGGAGCCATACAATTTTAAATCATCTCGGTTGAGAAACTAATTTCTTTAGAACTGATTTTTTTGTGTTCAGTTTGTTGTCGTTCCCCCGCACCTCCGATTTGCATGCTTTCCTACGTACGGTGCGAAAGGAGTTCGACATGCACAACCCAACCACGGCCCAATCCCGCCACACGCGGCCCTCCCCATCAACCGCTACTGGACGAGGGCCTCGTCACAACCTCGTGGCTCTTGGTGGGGACGTCCGTCCGTACTTGACTGCACACGTTGTCTGCGTACGCGTTGGCGGTGAGGGGGCCCTCTACGCCTCACGTGTCAAAGCGCAGCCCTTGGCCATCACGGCGGACAGCAACGTCATGGAGCGTGGTGCGTGGTGAAGGCGGGGAAGCACAGATGCCGGAGCGCAGAAGTATAGTACAACAATGTGGTTTCTCTACGGTGTCCTCTGCTGCCCACGGCATAGTCTCGCAGCCTGTAACAGCTCAGCTGTTAAGCAGAGTGGTCACCCATCCGGGCACCATCCAGGCTCAGCATTGAGTAAAGGTGCAGCCCTGAAATGTCCTGCTCAGGCCGCTGCTGGCAGAAAGGTGTCCACTCGCGTGAACTGTCGGGGTCTACTCTCTCACATTGACCAGACGTGTTGGAAGAGGTGGGCTTACCAACACTTTACCCCACCTCCGCGACCTGCCGATGGGCCAAGAACTGCACGTAAATTCACCGTCTTCGGTGGCTTATCATTATTATTATTTGTACGCAACTGACGAAAACCGGGACTTTCAACGTCACGGGCGGACAGATTTCCCGAGATGGCAGCAGTCTCGAAAAAATAAAAGAGGACGATCTTGGAAAGAAAGAAGGAAAGAAAAATCTGAGGTGGGCGACGACCCTCCTCGCACAGGAGCCTCTGTGCGAGGCGCTCCTTCACCTCCAGAGGTAGAAGATGCACAGGACCATCGCCGTGGTTATGAAGGCTGTGGCCGTGGCGACGGCGAGAAGGCACAAGGCCTTCGTCTTGAAGCTCAGGGAGCAGGCGTCTGTCTCCTGGATACAACAACAAGAATCATCGTCATCACCACATTTCACAAATTAACAGAGTCACGTAGATAGGAAAATAATACGTGACTTTACCGAAAGAACCGAAGAATATGAATTCCTGCAGTCACGAAAGTTTAAAGTCAAAATTAACAGAGCATCGAGCGTTTAAAAACAAATCAGGTCACCCCTCGCAGGAACGGGGCTGACCTGATTTGGACCGCAAGCTTAAGGGCAGGGAGCGGGAGTTTGAGCCCAGATGGTCCCCGTGGCTCTTGAACACGGAGTGAAGGTGCGCATGGTGGAGTGCATCCCTCCATGGATAGACCCGAGGTAGCCTGCACTGCCCTATGGGATTCATGTCGATGATAGGTTAACTCGCCGCGTGTGCGTTACTTTACTTGGTCGCGTCTTTGTTCGGGACTTGTCGGTGAAAGTTCCCAACCTCCAAAATAAGCCCCTCCTCTGGGACTCACTGGAGTTGCATTGGTTTCGGATATCCGTCTATCCACGTAAAATATATTTTTTATACTTCACAACCCACCAGCCCCACGGCCTTCTGGGAGTGCGTGATTTCAGCAGCATTTATTCAGCACAAACTCTTGGACAGGTTTCGACATGCTGTACAGTGCCTCATCAGCAGTCAGGCTTGCTTCACTGCAGTTTATTCCTGCCATTAAGTAGTTTATTAACTGCTATAAAGCGTCTTGAAATACCTTCGTATTTATAGGCTCAATCATTTAAAATTCGCCGCCGTTATCAGTGAGGCGTCGTGTGCTACCGTGCAAGGTAGGAGACCCGGTTACTGGGGCGGTGTCTATGTTGCCAATCATCTACCTCGGAGCACCTCACAGGGGCTTCCAAAAATCGCGAGTGGTGTCAGAACGCGTCTGTGTGTGACATCGCTTCAGTCGGAATCATTACCACGTGGGTGTCCGGATCGGGAGGCGGCGATGCGCCGGCCTCGTGTGACACAGTGACCGTGTCTGAAACGTGACACGCGGACGGGCAGCCAGAGGCAGGTTAGCGTCACATACACACAGCGTGCATCACCGTGACAGCAGCATCACACACACAGTGCGTGTCGCCATAACAGCAGCACCACACACACAGCGTGCATCACCGTAACAGCAGCGTCACACACACAGTGCGTGTCGCCATAACAGCAGCATCACACACACACACACAGTGTGCATCACCATAACAGCAGCATCACACACACAGTGCGCATCACCATAACAGCAGCATCACACACACAGCGCGCATCACCGTAACAGCAGCGTCACACACAGCGTACATCACCGTGACAGCAGCGTCACACACAGCGTACATCACCGTGACAGCAGCACCACACACACAGCGTGCATCACCGTAACAGCAGCGTCACACACACAGTGCGTGTCGCCATAACAGCAGCGTCACACACACAGTGCGCATCACCGTAACAGCAGCGTCACACACACAGTGCGTGTCGCCGTAACAGCAGCGTCACACACACAGCGTGCATCACCATAACAGCAGTGCCACACACAGCGCACATCGCCATAACAGCAGCGTCACACACACAGCGTGCATCACCGTAACAGCAGCGTCACACACACGGTGCGCATCACCGTAACAGCAGCGTCACACACACGGTGCGCATCGCCGTGACAGCAGTGCCACACACACGCGGCGCGCATCGCCATAACACGGCACACGGTTCGAGTGGGGCCAGAGAAGCGGCTGTCAGCGCTCGCCACACCGCTTGTGCGTGACGAGCCTGGCGCTGGATCGAGGCTTCGCTGAACCCAACCGTTTGTAGATGCGGGCCATGCGAACGTTCAGCCTTTAAGGTGATTCACGAGAATGACACTCCGGGGGGAATATTGGCGATTTTTAAGGAAGTTGCAGGACATAAATCGTCACATTGCAGAAGCTGAGTACCAAACAGATCGCGTGGGGAAACGACATTGGTGTCCCCTGCACCGCTCAAGTAACACTGACGGCAGGTCGCGCGGCGGTTCGCTGGCCACCACACGTGCAGGAGAGGCGACATGTACAAATGAAGGATGGGATTTTGTTTTTTTTTAAGACCAGGCAAGGGGAGAAGGAATTCCAGCCGAGAGCTGTGAAGTGAGCTCGTTCCAAAGGTGAGAGGCGGCGAGGCGAGATTGGTGGTGGTTTTTTTCAAGGTGGCCAGATCTCACTCCTTGGGTGCGTTTCGTTGACAGCTCCGTTTTTGTTTTCGCCCTAACTAATCCAAGGAGGCAGGAGAGGAGCTGCTAAAGGCTGACGTGGATGAAGGCTGCAGCGAAGGGACGGCCACGGGGGTAATGTAATGAGCTAATTTGTTCTTTGGGAGAATTTTGAGGATAAATGATGCCCAATGAAACTGCCTCTGAGTGTCGAGGGAAGTCTGCTTTCCATTTAAGTACGGATCGCTGAGCAACAGGCCCAAAGGTACAGAATGTTGAGTGGCCAGGCGGAAATAGCACGGTCGATTTTGTAACCGATTCGAGTTCATGCCGTTGTTTTAAGTTGAGCAATGCTGTCAGATTTTGGGGGCACGAGACGATTGAATGAAATTCCAGAGTGGAGCAGTGCGGGGTGGGAAGCCGAATAAGACGTGAAGTGGCCTGCAGTGTGGTGAATGGCTGAGTTGGTGAGTGAGCACATGAGTGAGTGAATGGGTGAGTGGCTGAGTGAGTGAGTGAATGGGTCTGTTGTTGTGACCTGCAGTGTGGTCCGTGGCTGAGTGATTGAGTGAGTGGGTGAATAAGTGTATGAGTGAATGGGTGAGTGGCTGAGTGAGTGAGTGGGTGAGTGAATTGTTGTGACCTGCAATGTTGGTGAGTGGCTAAATCGGTGAGTGGATGAGTGTGTTTTTGAAACCTGCATTGTGGTGAGTGGCTAAGTGGGTGAGTGAGTGTGCGAGTGAATGGGTGAGTGGCTGAGCGAGTGAGTGTGTTGTTGAAACCTGCAGTGTGGTGAGTGGCTGAGTGAGTGAGTGTGTGAGTGAATGGTTGAGTGGCTGAGTGTGTGAGTGAGTGGATGAGTGTGTTGTTGAAGTCTGCAGTGTGATGAGTGGTTGAGTGAGTGTATGCATGAGTGTGTGAGTGAATGGTTGAGTGGCTGAGTGTGTGAGTGAATGGATGAGTGGCGGAGCGAGTTAGTTGTTGCGACCTGCAGTGTGGTGGAGACGAAATAATGCAGTATAACTAGTCCTCAGAAGGAGGGGAACAATCAATGTGAAGATAACAGCAATAGAAGAGTGATACACAAAGGATCAGTGAGTGCCGTATCATCCATCAACTTGACTGTACACACTGAAACCTATAAAGTGCAGTGAGGCATGAACTGGCCAATCCACTCCAGATATGTCAACAGTGTTCCAACTCGGGCCAATTCAAAGTGGCAGGCTCGTGAGCCATAGGTTCTCCCACACAGTGTGTGTGATGAGCGGTGGTGCAGCGGTTAGCGCTACGCTGCGCTACGAACCCGTCGTCCCGAGTTCGATTCCCGTTCACGGCCAACACCAGTGACGAATGTCTGAACCGGTCCTGGGCCTCTCCTAGGTCAACTCAGCCTCAAATGAGTACCTGGTGCGGTGTGTAAACATCGCCACTGGGGAGACAAAGGCGGCCGGGCGAGGCGTTGGCCACCCACAACCCCCTTCGTGTACCATGCCGTCCTTTGTAGGTGCTACTCGTTAACAGCACTGTGTAGGTGCTACTCGCTAACAGCACTGTGTAGGTGCTACTCGCTAACAGTACTGTGTAGGTGCTACTCGTTAACAGCACTATGTAGGTGCTACTCGTTAACAGCACTGTGTAGGTGCTACTCGCTAACAGCACTGTGTAGGTGCTACTCGTTAACAGCACTGTGTAGGTGCTACTCGTTAACAGCACTGTGTAGGTGCTACTCGCTAACAGTACTTTGTAGGTGCTACTCGCTAACAGCACTTTGTAGGTGCTACTCGCTAACAGCACTGTGTAGGTGCTACTCGCTAACAGCACTGTGTAGGTGCTACTCGCTAACAGTACTTTGTAGGTGCTACTCGCTAACAGCACTGTGTAGGTGCTACTCGCTAACAGTACTGTGTAGGTGCTACTCGCTAACAGTACTTTGTAGGTGCTACTCGCTAACAGAAATTTGTAGGTGCTACTCGTTAACAGCACTGTGTAGGTGCTACTCGCTAACAGCACTTTGTAGGTGCTACTCGTTAACAGCACTGTGTAGGTGCTACTCGTTAACAGCACTTTGTAGGTGCTACTCGTTAACAGCACTGTGTAGGTGCTACTCGTTAACAGCACTTTGTAGGTGCTACTCGCTAACAGTACTTTGTAGGTGCTACTCGCTAACAGCACTTGGCCCCCAACAGTCTGTTCATGCTATATGGGCAGTGCCGGATTAAGCTAGTGCGGGGCCTGTAGCACATGTCATAAAGGGGCCCTAAATATATATATTTAAAAAAAAAACATTAATATTAAAACACATTTTTAACTTGCATAGTAAATTAATTGTAAATTTTCATTTGCTATACAGCCAGATAATACGACAAATCGCTAACCTTAAACACCCAGTCGTTCATAAAAGTCGAATGCGGTATAGTACTATAGTAATAGAGCAAGTGCAGAACCACTGAACCGGAAATTGATTGCTTCAAAGCATTTAGCGCGGGGTCCCTGAAAGTGCGCGGCCCGTAGCATATGTAGCTACTTTTTCTACTAGGATAAACCGGCACTGTATACGGGGGGGGGGGGGGGGGGGGCAATTTTTGTATTTGTGCCAAGCTAGGTTCATTACAAAGCTATGGGAGGAGCAGCGGGCGGAGATCTGACCCGATATGTGCAGGGTGCCGTGGTGGAGCTGCGGCCTCTTTCCGTGCCGACGGACCCCACGGCTCCAGGTGTGTGCCGTGCTTGAGATGCCAGAGGCTGTTGTCATCGCTGCCATCGCTGCTGCTGCTGTTGATGTTCTTGTCCTGGCAATGGCTCGCACGTGGCTTGCTGTGTCTGCTGCTGGAAGGGGGCACGAGACATTGCGCAACGGCAACACGTGACGGCAACACGTGACGGAGTCGTCAGAATGTTTATTGATCCTGGAGGAATTCCGCTCAGCTACGAAGTTTATGTTTCGGTAGGGTCAGAACGTTCCTCACAACAAGTAGTGCAACAACAACAAAACTCACAATAGGAGTGTAAAGTATGCCGTAGGAAAAGGTAAGGAAATCGCTTTGACAAAAAATGCAAATAAAACGAAACAATGTTTTTTTTGTATATTACCACGTAAATTGCACTGAGGTATTAGCATATTTTTTCAGCTCGACACAGTGGCTTCTCATTTGGGCATTTATAGCAGCAAAATAATCTAAATAGTCTAACCAGAGCCGCGTGTGGCTCTTTAAGTGACTGCTTCTTCAGATTCTCTCCAGGATAAATAAAGACTCTGATGTTTGTGGGTGCACCTCTGACGGGCACACGTGGTGTGTGTGCGTCCGAGTCAATCGTTGTCAGCCTTTGTTGTATGAGCCCCTCCCCCACCCCCCCCTCGAGTCAAGACCACTAATAATCATCATTTAAATGTAAACAATCCTTCTCAGGGCGCTACGCAAGGCAAGGCAGAACATAGCGAACGACAACCTGGTAAGCAAGAGGTGAGAGCGACGGTTGAAAATAACGAGGGAGAGAAAGAGATCACACGTCCAGACGCCTCTAGTCAACGCGGTGTGAGTAAGGCATGCGTCTCAACCTGTACATCGGCCTGCCTTGTGTTCGTAAGCCATTCGCCCCGTGTTGTGCCCGAGTTCGTTTGTCGCCACGACGTGGCCGCTGACCGTTCCACCCCGTGCACATTCGGATTTTCTCCCTGCACGGTTTCCATGCCGCAGCCTGAAAGGCTTCGCGTGAGCTAGCGTGCGACACCTTTGGGCTCGTGCGAGCGCGTGCCAGTAGTGTTCGCGCACAGCGCTCTCCGTTGTACCTCCTTCGCGCCGTGCGTTGACCGACCGTGCTAATCCAATCGCCGTGCGTTGACCGACCGTGCTAATCCAATCGCCGTGCGTTGACCGACCGTGCTAATCCAATCGCCGTGCGTTGACCGACCGTGCTAATCCAATCGCCGTGCGTTGACCGACCGTGCTAATCCAATCGCCGTGCGTTGACCGACCGTGCTAATCCGGAGGTGCGCTGCTGCGTGCGTTGGCGCGAGCACTGACCCTTTGACCTCCGGGGTGAGGAGGTGATCTCCCGAGTCCACGAACTCCACAAGCCGAGCATGATGCACTCCCGGGCGCGCGCGCGCACTTTGTAGGCGGCTCCGGGCCTCGTGTTCACAATCACGAACCGCCTCGCGCCTTTGTCGGCTGTCACATTCTGAAGAACCGACGCACGCGCGGACACCAGGTTCACGCGCGGCCATCACCCCCCCCCGTTCACCGGGATGCCCCGACATGACACCGACACGTCGTGGCAACGCCACGGCGATACTCCCATACGGGGTCCATCCTCGCAGCGGCGGCTTTTGGCTTGCCATCGAACAAAGTCGGTCGCCGCTTTCGCGCGCTGTCGGACGCGCTCCTGCGGCCGCCCGCGCGGGACGCTCCTCCTGCCGACATTGGGAAAGCCACGGGGAGCTGTGTACTTTAAAATACTCTCGATTGAAAACTGACTCCTCTAGAAGTGCTTCTTGTGATGGGTTTGTTGTCCTTGCCCGCATCTCCGGTAAGCACGGTTGGCTATGTACGGTGCGAAAGAAGTTCAACGTACACACATGCAGTGTAGTCAGGGCTGACGATTGGAAGACATTACAGCAAGGAACTCAGAAATCTCCCTCCCACCCCCCAAATGTGGACCATCCCAACTTCAAGGGGAGGAGGTGAATGTGAGTATTGATCAATATATTAACATAATTTTACCTGTTTCAGCACATTCATTTAAAGTAATAAATGAACGTGCTGAAAATAAATATGATATTTGCACAGATCTATTACACAATTGAGTGTGTGTTTTCCTCCCGCGTACCATTTGAGAGCTCCCAAAGGGTGACGTTTGTAATTCGCACCGTACATAGCCAACGAACACTTGCGAGATATAGATATATACAGAATAGACTAGCCGCTGCGACTAGCCTTGTCCCTGGTTACGTCTGGAACGACACAGGCGGGATCGAAGATTAACTCCCACCACAGCGTTCCGGGTCGCTCTGGCCCATTTCAGGGTAGCGAGATGTTAACTCCCTTGCCTGGTATACAGGAGGTCGTGCGTTCGACCCCGACACTGACACCTGTTGCATATTCGAAGGTTGAATGCTCACTCCGTGGCCACGTGGATTTTTCTCCGGGTCCTCCGATGTTTCCCTCCGCATTTAAGAAGCATGCGTTTAGAGTAACTTTGGCTACTCTCAATTTACACACGACGATAAGCCATCATTTGTGGCCAGGTCGCTTCTGAAGCTCAGTGGGCCCTTACCTGGTCCTGTAAAATCCAGAGGTCGCCGACTCGGGCAGGTTTCGGAACTGACCTTATAATGCTCGTCGTGCTCTGCGAGCTTGTACTGCAGTTCAATCTGGAGGGGGAACATCCGGTCGACTTCTGGCCACGTCGGAGGGAATTTCCACGTCACTAAGATCTCGTCCTCGCTCCCGCCTCTCGGCATGGCCCGCAAATCCACCGGAGGGTCGGGCTCGACTGGAGTGAATAAACGAATGAAGACGACGCGAGGTCAGGCCACAGGTGGAGTAGGATGTGGGCTGTTCCTATCGGTGACCTGATCATCTGGTGACCAAGCTGCATGTGTTATTTTATTATGAGACTTACTCTCCAAATGAGACGCTGAAGGTAAAAATAAAACCCGCGCAGAAGGTTTTGCTGGCTCAAACAAATGCTGATTAAATTGCCCTCGAAAGTCGATAGGTGAATGGACTAATATTCATGGTTATTCATATGCGGAGAGAGAATGAGTTCTGCTTATATGTGCATTTACCCAAAATGCTTCAGAACAAAGCATAATGATTTTATCCGGTCACGTAGACGCAATGCCATTTCTCACTGCTCTGCTGGATGAAGGCCTCCCCCCATGCTGTGCAAGAGGCAGAGAGATGTTTCTGAACACACTTCACTGCTCTGAACGGTGCAGATTGGTGAAGGTGGGGGTGTATGGAAGTGCAGGGCAATGGTTGGATATTGCTGCACTGCCATTTCTTTGCAGTTTCGTACGTGAGCCTTTCACGATTAATACAATTCATGGGTTAGATTGCGAAGGAACAATGCCAAGGACTGTGACAAGAGCGTGGCAATGACAGCTGTCTCTTATATTCCACTGCAGAGCCACGTGTTCTCGACTAGTTTATCGTTTTATATCTATGTAAACAATGTAACTCCAACAATATTATCAATCAGCCCGTATCACGAATTTCTCACCGTGTTAATCCACGTAATATGAACTCACTAACTAACCCCATTAACAAATAGCATATCAACCCCAGCAACATCACTAACACATTACACCTTCATATAATTTAGGGAAGCCTATCGTGACTGATCTAATTAACCACTGATTAGATCACTGATTAGATCAGTGGTTCTTAACATTTACTGCGGCCTTGCACCCCTTTGGTTCTCAATCGTAAACGATGTATAACATTAATAAATACCTTGGTTTGATGAAACAAAGTAGTTGTGCTTACGTCACTGTACTTAATTTGCGTTTAGATAATTTACCTTCGAAAAAATCTGGCCACGTCTCGCACCCCCAGGGAATGCAGCGTGCACCCCCAGGAGGTGCAGCGTGCACCCCAGGTTAAGAACATCTGGATTACGTTCACCATACTAAACTAATCTACCCTCCCAATCAAGCAGCTGATAACTATAATTATTAAACCCGTTCACTTGCAATCAAATTGGCGCCTTTACCCACGTGACAACTTTATTTGATTGGCTCTGCCAGGCGGTGGAGGGTCATCACGACAACATTGACATTACAACCTACAGGACGATCTAACCCAACAGGCACTACGAATCATTTCTCGACCAGCTTGGAGTTCATGCGGACAGCACAGTCTGCCGTCAGCCTCCCGTCCAAGGATGATCCGAGGCTACACAGCACAATTCTCGACGACCTCTCCACCATTGGTTATGTTTGCTCACCGATATTGATCGGGATGAATCTGTAAGTGTCGCTGAGCACGCGGCCCCCCGGCCCTCCCTCCGCGATCACCGTGGCAGCATACGACTCGGAGTCCATGGCGTCGGCTTTGAAGGGGCAGGAGTACGGTGGACACCGAGGCTGCGTGGGGCACGCAATCATCAGGTGCTGCGGAGTTTCATTCCTGTAGGAAAGAGACGCGGCACATCATGGCACGATTATTTTTTTTATCTACCCATGCATGGGGGCCCCCCAGGGTGGCGAGATGTTAACTACCTCGCCTGGTATGCAGGAGATTGCGGAGTGATCCCGAGCCCTGTTCAGAAGAAACCTGGCCACAAATGATAGATCAACGAAGTGGCTTATCACGTGGAAATGCAGAGCAGCCACATACTCTAAACGCGTGATTCTCAATGTGGAGGGGGAAAAAACCGGAGGACGCGGAGAAAAATCCACGCGACCACGGAGGAGAGAGACACGCAAACTCCAAATATACAGGCGTCAGGGTCTGGATCGATCCCACGACCTCCTGTATACCAAGCGAGGTAGTTAACATCTCACCACCGTGGGGCCCCCTGCATGGGAAAAAGAATAACAAAAAGCGTGCATGATGTGCTGCGAATTTCTGCAACAGGAACGAGACTCCCCAGCACTCGACATTGCGTCTCACTCGATGAAGATGGAAAGGGTGTAGCTGGTCGCCTCGGTGTCCTGCAGGCCCGGCAGCCACTGGCAGTTGTATTCGTACGGCGTTATCCCGCGGCATCTTGGTTTGTTCGAATTTCCGAAGGTCATTGTTGGTTTGGCTGTGGCACCTGCTCAGGCAACGGCACAAAGCATACGGCTCCAGTCAGCTAGCGGGAAGGATTACATAGATGTGACTGGCACTCATCATCATCAGCAGCAGCAGCAGCCATGGTCTATCCACTGATGAATGAAGGCCTCCTAAAACCTTCGGCGTCTCTCTTGAGGACTCTCGATTCAACGATCCCTCTAGCTCCTGCGCGCAAGCTCAAACTGATTGCTCCGTCTCCGCAGCGGTCGTGAATTTGTGTCTATTTTTTTTTCTCTACTTCGGTCGCCGCATCCTTGTTAGTCTGCAACCAGCGGACATCGTCCCATCGAGCGGCGTGTCCTGCCCGAGCCCTGTTACGTCTCACTCGAGTTTGTCCTCCAATACACGTAAGTTTGCACGTCTGCTAAAAAATTAAAATAAATCACGACGTTTCGGGCGCAACACAAGCGTCCTTCTTCAGGTGGAGACAACGTAGTGAAAGCACACCGCTTAAGTGTGTCCCCACCTGAAGAAGGACGCTCGTGTTGCACCCGAAACGTCGTGATTAAATTTTTTTAATTTTTTCTTACCTACGTGACTTTACCGAAAAAAAAACAAAGAGTATGAATCCTTGCAGTCACGAAAACTTCAAATCTAGAATTAACGTCTGCTAAACCTCGTCCACACCGTGCGTAGCCAACCGTGCTGATCGGTCGGTGCGGAGTTTGGGGGGGGGGGGGGCGGTAGGGAGGAAGGTTCAACAAACTAAAGACAAAAAGAAGTCCCAAAGAAACGAGTTTCTCCTCCTGTCACTCGGTGTCATATCCAAGCACGCGTCTGCTCCCCGCGCTCCGCGTGCTTCTCAGCGCGTTCCCTCCTCAATGTCCGCGCTCGTGAACCTCGGCGCATCAGGTTGGGATGCGCCGATTTTAAACGTTCTTCCTCGACCACATTGGTTTGTCGCTTTTCCTTTCTGAGTTCAGTCTTTGATCAAAGGCGAAGAGGGGGTTTCGTGCTCGCCTGTTAAGGATAACGACTTGCATTTACATTGCCCTTGCTCCAACGCATCAGCAACTCAAAGTGCCTTGCAATCACGTCTCGCTTCCAATGCTCTGCTTCAGTCTAGCCAGGGGGGGCACCCCCCCCCCCTGGCTAGACTACCAACCCCTTACCTTATTATAGACCAATTGGGACCTTATTGGTCACCTTGTGGCCCTCATAAATCTCAACGTTCATCCTACAAAGTTCGATCACAAGGGAGAAACACAAACAAATAGACACCTTTTTTTGCCCGTATTGAAACGGCTGTTCTACCCCGTGTGGACCTGAAAACTCAATTTCCCTGTACAACAATGCGGGGTTGTAAAACCGTGATGGGTTGACACGGTGTGCGATGAGATACAAAATATCAAAGCTGACACATTTGCGTACTTGTAAAAACGCTGCTCTATACCACAGCCGGAAAATCCCAGAGCTAATGTACTTAAAACGATTTTATATATTTATTTATTCACGCGAAAGGCCAAACAGAAGTCGATTTTAACAGAGATCACGCCCCGCAATGGTGAAACGGTGGCCACAGTGGTTAGCGCACCGTGGCGTGAACCCTGACGAGGCATTTTAAAAGTGACGTTAACACCCTCTCAGAGGGCCGGAACATGAAGAAGCTAAGTCTGATTGCAAGTGACACCCTTGGTGAGTGATATCTGTTATCTATATCGACATTCTTTCGCACCGTACGTAGCCAACCGTGCTCTTCGGAGGCGCGGGGGAAGGACAACAAACTAAAAGAGAAACCTTATCCAGTCTTGGGGCGCCCCTTCAACAAGCCGAACTGATCGGCGTGGTGATGTGTGGTCAAACAACCCCCATGACCGGCGTGGGAAGACCCTCATCCAGCAGCGGATTGACACGAGCGCTCGAGGCTCGGTGACTGCTCCGCGAAGGACGATTTTTCGATAACATTTAAAAAAAAATACAGATCATTAAACATTACGCGGTGCTCCCATAACTCAGCACAGGTGCGTGTGGCGAGAGGGGTCCAGATGCGTGCGTGGTGAATGTGAAGGAGGTGGCGGGGGGGGGTGGTGAGCGGTGCGTAAGGTGGCCAGCGGAGGAGCCTCGTTGTCCCCGCTGAGCGAGCAAGGGCGAGGCAGGGTGGACTCGCCCTGATTGACGGGGCACCCTTGGGGCCACGCTTGGGTCGCTCCGCACACAAACAGCAGCAGTGCCGCTAGCAGCTGGGCGGCAGCAGCAACGGCACGGTGGGACAGCATGGCCCTGGGGATAGAGACAGCAGCGGGAGCATGAGCCACACCACGTCGGCGTTTTGCTGCGGGGCTGTACAGGTTTTTCGGCTTGATCGGCTCCCTCCACCTGCTGGAAGCTTCTTCGGGAAGTGAATTTGAATTGAGGAAGTGAATTTGAATTCGGTTCCCGAAGAAGTTACCGGCGCGAACGACACGTGGTGCAACGGGAAGAACACATCCATCGCAGGAACAAAGCAAGAACAACAAAGCAGTCTGTCTTCCACGTCACGGGGGTGGATTTACCGAGTCCAGACGCGGTTTGTGTTCTCTTATACAATCGGGGATTTTGTGGACGGACCCGAATATTTTCATGCAATCGGATTTTTTGTTTTTAAACCGCACTGCCAACTTCCAAGAACTCAATAGCGTACAAAGAAACGCCCATTTGCAAAAGCAAATGTCCATCCATCACGCACCAGGCAGGAGGCAGTCGCGCTTGGCTATACTGCACTCGCATTTTGCCAAACGCCGGGGCGTTCCGTCGTGCAGTCCACAATTCACTCGCGGTATTTCGTGGTTCCAGTGTTGTTTTACATTTTGAGTGCGAATTGCTGAGAACTAAAATAAAGTCTGGGAATGGGATCACTTTCACACGTAGGAGGCTTTCGCGACCAATATCAAACATAATACAGTTTTTTAGGGTTAGATCGCGAAAATATAAATGTGTCGTTAAACCCGCCACCACCCGACACGGCCAATTAGTAAGGTTTGCCACGTAAACAGGACGTGCCAATTCGCTACTCGTGTCAGCACACCGGTGTGTTGGAGAGTAAATATTGTGGGTTTACTCTCCAACAGTAAATGTGGCTTTACTGTCGAACACACAACTGGTGTGCTGAACTAGTCACGAATTAGCACGTTTTGTTTACGTGACAAACCTTACTAATTGGCTGTGTCGGGTGGTGGCGGGTTTAACGACGCGTTTATATTGACGCGATCTCACCCAAAAACCTCTATTACGTATAAATGAGATCAATGTGGTCTTCATGCAAATAATATGGTTACTTTAAAACAATAATAATAATAAATACAAAAGCAGTCTACCAGGACACCCCACCATCGAGCGGAGCTGTGCAACGCGGACCCTTGCACGACAAGAGCGATGCAAACTATAAAACTCAACAAATTTTTGTCATTAGGTAAGGCCCCACTGAGCTATGTAGTTTTTTTTAGAAGCGACGTGGCCACAAATTTTTCTCAACGAAGTGACTTATCATCGTGCGGAAATGTACAACAGCAGCCAACACTCGGATGGCACGTTTATTCTAAATGTGGAAGGGAAAAACCCGGAGGACCCGGAGAAAAATCCACGCGACAATCGGGATATAGAGCATGCAAAGTCCAAATATACAGGCGTCAGCGTCGAGATCGAACCCACAACATCCTGTATGGCTTTAGAGGGACATAACATTTCGCCACCGTGACGCCCCGATTATATGACTTCATTGTCGTGATTCGTATCACTGTCAAAATGTCTCCGTGAACAAAGCAGCATTCGGGGGAATCCTGATCCCCCGTTAATGGCACTGAACCAGTGGTCAAAATTCCACATTTCCATGTCCGGTGCCATGCAAATTTGGAAAAAGAACACATTTTCTTCTCGTCAGCCTCCTATTATAGTCTCTACGTACAAACGCGACTTTTTTTTGCCATTCCACTGCCGGATGAGAGCCTCTCAAGCCCGTGCGGGCTGTGGGATGTATTCAGCCATACTTCACCGCGCTGGTCATGGGTGGTTGGTGAAGATTGGCAGCCATAAATGAGGGCCTGTGGGAGTAGACAACCATGGATTTTGCTGCACTGCCCATCAGGTGACAAAAATCATCAGCCGACTAATTGTAATGCCATTTGATAATTATCCAAGCAAGCCTCGCTGAGTCTCAAACACTCTTTCATCAGGAGGGTTCTGCAGTGGGATATTTATTTTTTGTTCCCAATTAAATGAGCGTTTTGCATTGGCGACGACATCGGAATGCGTGGAGGAAACCCGCGCATTCGAGGAAAGGACATTCAACGTTCCGCACTTAAACTTTTGAACCTTGTGGCGGGACCCCGAGGTCCCATAAGCCCCCGGCTCTCGCATAATCTGCGTTGCGACGTCATTTTGTGTCTGTTGAAGGCGAACGAAACGGCGATCTATTCCTCTGGACGAGCTCTACACGATGCGCTAATCAAAGTTTTGTTTCTCCTGCGCATTCGTCCTCGCTGCTGTGCTTGGACGACACGACGCCAGAACGATCCGCGTCAGGCGGGTCGCGGCGTTCATGTGCGCGGTGGGACGGAGTCGCCAAAATAAAAAAAAAAACATTAATTACGATTTTGACTTCCGTTTATTCGGGACCCCGTGGTCACGTCCATAAGGTTCACTTTGTGAGAATTCCTCGCTCTCAAGGACGTTTTCTGGCCGCCTCGCTGACCGGCACGTCGCATTTTGCAACACCTCGCGAATGTGAAATGATGATAAGTTCGAGTTTACTCGAGGCGGCGGTGGTTAAGTGTGTTCGGCCTGTAATTTTACACACGTGTACATTGACGATCAATTGTGAATGGCCTTTAGATTTACGCGTAAATATATATTGGGCTTAAAAGCATCGTGATATAGTCGACATCTCTGTGTGCGTGTGTGTGTGTAAGTGGTGTTACCATGCCTCACATGGATTGAGTAATCGTTCCCGCAACCCGTGTGATGGATGAACTCTGGGCGAACTTTTCAAAGCAAGCAGCGACATTTCAGTTTAACACGTAGGCTTTCGCGACCAATATTATTCATAATAAAGGTTTTTGTGGTGTAATGAGTGCAGCCCGAGAACGTATTCGTTCGCCAACCATCGCGAGCATCGATTTACGAGTCGGGCGGTTGCACAAATAAGACGACCGCACCGCCAACAGCTCGAAATAATCCAAATTGTACACGTGGGTGTCATTTTGTACAAGGTAATTATAGTTGCGGAAAACGTGGCTTCGTATACAAAACAAGCCAACGTTTTCAGGCGTAAACGAAACTGAATGGAATATCGCCACCAATCCAGCGTGGACGAAAGTCCGTCCGACCCCATCGTGGTATTTAATGAGCATTTACCCCGGATAGAGAAAGGTGGGCAAATTATTTCCACAAGAATTACAGTCCTATGGTCGGTTGGCGTAACTTACTCCTC